TCTATCTATCTATCTATCTATCTATCTATCTATCTATCTATCTATCTATCTATCTATCTATCTCTCTATCTCTCTATCTATCTATCTCTCTATCTATCTGCATTAGTTGCTAGATTATAATCTCTTTGAGGACAGGAACAATTTCACTTTTGCCTTTTGATATCTACTACTGTGTCTGGTGCATAGTAGGTGGTTAATAAATGCTTGTTAATTGATTAATTGCTAGTGACTGGGAACGAATTACATTATTGAGGTGTAGGTAGCACAGTGCTAAGTGTTGGGCTTGGAATCAGGAAAGCCTGAGTTCCAATCTCATCTCAAATACTTACTGGCTGTGTGACCCTGGACAAGTCCTTTAACTTATCTCAGCCTCAGTTTCCTCATCTGTTAAATGGGGATAATAATAGCACCTACCTTTCTGGGTAGTTGTAAGGACTGAAAGAGAACACATGTAGAGCACTTGCAAACCTTAAATGACTAGATAAATACTAGCTCTTATTGTCTGGGTATTTGTTGGCACTCTTTCTCTGACAAAAGTCAAGTAGCTTAATACTTTTTTTGTCTTGCCTTAATAATAATTTCATCCTTCTAAAAGTGGAGGAAGCAACAAAGGCAACTCTTATTCTAAGCCTCATTCTGACCAACAAGGAAGAACTTCTTGCTGAAATAGAGATGATGGGGAATCTTCTGGGGAGGTGACCACTTTATCTCAATGTAACCACTAGGGAGTGGTATCTTAAAGGAAAAAATGAAAGGAAGTGATAATTATTTTCTCCTCCTCACCTCCTCCTTTGAACGTGATCTTGTCCACCCTTTTCCAACTCCTCCCTAAGCTGGAATCAAGGGTTTGGCAAGCCCTTAGTCAATCCACGCTTCCATTTTGACTCTCACTCCTCTGAAATCCTTTGAATTGCCTGGGAAAGGACTATGGGGGAGAGGGAGAATTGGAGAGTGAACTCTGTCTACAAGCTTTCTGCCTCCAAAAATTAAAAAAAAAAATCCTGCTTAAATTTTTTTTTTTTTACTAAGTCTTTCATACCACCCAAGTCTATGTACACATGACTCAGTAGCTTAGAGTAGATGGTCCTTTGCTACTTAGGAGCCTCTAAAAGTTAAAGATTAAAGATAAAGATAAAGTTAAAGATTAAAAAGTAAAATAAAAAGATTAAAATTATAAGACTCTCTCACAAATACAATCTCAGATCTCTTTCTCCCCAAAGGTATGATGTAACCTTAGTTATTTTATTTGCCGCCCCCCTTTTTTTAAGGCAATTGGGGTTAAGTGAGTTGCCCAGGGTCACAGAGCTAGTAAGTGTCAAGTGTTTGGTCTGAGGCCGGGTTTGAACTCAGGTTATCCTGACTTCAGGGCCAGTGCTCTATCCACTGCACCACCTAGCTGCGCCTTAAACTTCAGTTATTTTAAATGAAGATTCAAACCTCTGTCCTATTTAGGTGTGTGTATTTCAAACTATTCACTGACGTCCTCTATTGCAATCACTCCATATGCA